CTACTACTACTACTACTACTACTGCTACTACTACTACTGCTACTACTGCTATTACTATTATTACAACCACTACCTTATTACTATCATTATTACCATTATTATTACAATTATTAATTATTGCGATTATTGCAATTATTGCGAATATTATTTTATTTTATTTTTATTTTTATTATATATAATAATGTAATTGAAAAATTGAAACGATATTGCATAAAGTTAATAATAAACAAATGCATCTCCATCTTTGTTGTTTAATTTTTGTTGGCCTTCTGAAATTTTTTTTAAGTAAATAGTTATAATATATTTAATTACATCTAAGAAAAAAAAGGAATATCTGGAAAAAAAGTATAATAATTGTGACAGTTTGTAAATTTATTAAATTTTGTTGTTTATAATAATTATTGAAAATATTATAAGCATTATATATATATAAATTAAATTTGATTATATTTTAAAAATGTATTATTTTATTTTATTATTAAATCATATTATTTTATTTTCTCATTCCATAAACAATTTTTGCTTTAATTAAAATATATTTTATATAATAATATCAAAATTGTATTTCATAATATTTATAGAGTTTTGAAAATTTAATTATGTTCTATTTGTTTTGCAATTTTATACATTTTTATATTCTGGTTATTCCCAAATTTTAAGCCAAATATTGTTAATATATTTTATAAGTCTAAATAAGAAAAAAATATTATATAAACATAGATCGTTCAAAAATTTATTAGAATAATATGAAAAAAATATATATATAAAACATTTATGATTACTTAGTATTATAATACAATGTAGTAATAATATTATATGACTTCGTCACAAAGTATTGCAATTCAAAATATTTCGAAAATAATTTCTATCAGAAATAAATTTTCAGATTTAATTTTTATGAATTGATAGAATATAAACATATACATATTTTGCAATGCCTATTATTGTAAGAAAACATTAATATAGATTCTTTAATAGAAAAATTGTTTAATTTTTTGATGTTTGATGTTTATAAATTGATGCGCAAAATTATTAATGATATATAATGGAATTTTTGAATTAAAAATTCATAAAATGAACTACGATATTTTATTATAATTTTTTATTATATTATTATATTTATTATTATATTATACATTAATTTATTTTATTAATTTATTTTATATTTTTTTCTATTTTTATTTTATTATTAGATCAATAGAATGAATTAAAAACTTAAGATAATTTCAATTTTCAATTTTATTTTTTTATTTAAAAGTATTTGACTTTTAAAATATTATTGAATTAAATATCAAATATCGCGCCATAATAATTAATATACTTGTAATTTGTATCGTGATCAAATTTCAAAAAATTATCATGATCATAAAATAGTTTGAATACTAATTCTATATAATATATTTTTGCATTAAAAAAAAGCTTTTATATCAAAATATTTCAATAATTTCAAAAATTATGTATTTAGTTTTTACTATAATTCTTATAACGAATATATATGCTCTATAATATATATAAGCGATTGATTAATTGATTTTTCTGTTTTAAAATAATTATTTATTAAATAATGACAGAACCAATTTCAACATCAGAAAAATCAAAAAAAATTAATGTAATAAGTAAACAAACAATTCATCAAATTTGTTCTGGCCAGGTAAGATAACCTATAAATATATTAATATATATTTAATTTTTAAATATTAATATTTTTTTCTTAAAGAAAATATTTATATGTATTAGAATATTAAAAAATTTATAAATTAAAAAATAATAGATTAATATAAAAAAAAATAATTTTTCATATATAGTAATAAATATTTTATAGATAACATATAAATATAAATGAAATTTTTTAATTTCATAATCTTTTTAAAAATTAATTTTAAATTATATTATTAATTAATATAATAAGATATAGTAAAAATCAATATTATAAATAACTTTGGAATTATACTAATTTGAAAAAAATTTTTTAAATGAAGATTTTATTAGAAGATCCATGAGTTTATAAATATTTCATCATTATATAATAATAACAATTTTTGATAGAAAAAAATTATAAGATATAATGATTATTATTTTTATTTGCATATTTTTATTTATATATAAATATATATATATATTTTTTAATTTATTTATTTTATATATTTTGATAAATTATTAATTCATTTAATATATAATAAGAATAATAGATAATATATAATATATAATAAGAAAATAAATAAAGAGTTTAAATATTTTTTTTCAATTAATTCTTTAAATGAAATATATATAAAATCTAATATGATTTTATTTTGGAATTATAATTAATTTGTAATATAAATTATAAAGTTTATGTATTTTTTCAAAAAATTGCTTGTGATTATTACAAATCATTTTTAAACTTGTTCACAATAAATTTATTAATTATTATTAAATTCAATATTATTTCATGTATAATATAATACATAATAGTATTTACTAATAGT